ATGTTCTTTATGACACTCCAGTCCAGAAATAACATGTTATATAGACCTATGGATAATCACACGTGTTTTTCCACCCATGTCATTCTAAAGTCCATAATATTAGGTGAATTAGCATGATCAGCACATAATTTCCCACAGAGGGTAAGCTACACTTGATTGTCCTGCAAACTTGCCTGACCTGAATCCTACAAAGAATCTCAGGGATATTGTCAAGAGGAAGATCAGAGCAGATGATCTGAAGGCCACTATCAAAGCAACCCGAGTTTCTGTTACACCTGAGCAGTGCCACAGGGTGATCGCCTCCATCCACAGCCCCAGAATGCAGTAATTTATGCAAAAGGAGGCTGAGCAAAGTATTGAGTACATATAAATGAAAATACTTATTAAAAGCCAGACATTTCTGTTTAAAATAGCATTCTTTAATTGATGTCATGCAATATTTGAATTTTCAAACACACTGAATAGGGATGTCCATTATCTGTAAGCCATAATCATCAACATCAAGAAATAAAGGCTGGAGAGCTTTATATATTTATGTATTTATTGATTTATTTATCAGGCACAGTGTACATTAATCAATATTTCTGCAAATGTACTAAATTTGCAGTCATCTGCAACCCCTGGACAGACATGGTAAACAAGGTTACCCTAAAAACACAATAAGATTTATACAAAAAAGCGCAATTGTTAATAACAGTTTGATTAAAAGGCAGAGAGAACACACGGATTATTTACTTAGAAACACAGCGGATGCGCGCGCAACCCGAAAGTGTCGCTGTCTCTGCGGGTACCATGAAGTTGCAGCTTAAACTAGCGCTGTTGTAAGAGCACTAAAACAATTAATCTCAGCGGGATGAAATATGTTAAATTAGGAGAGTGGGATACGTCTTAATGCGTTAAATGCTGGTGAGTGAGTGAATGACGAGAAGAAATGGCTCACATTTCAGATGAGTGGATGTCCCGCTACTGATGAACTAGCTCCGCCTCCAGGAAGGCCTAAAATCCTACAAAACACAAAATAAACACAACATAATACAAGACAGCAGTTTTTTGCACGAGATGTATACTTGCTAGTGAAAAACAAGGTTGAAAATGCTCCAACCCTATGTATCTATTAGTGATGGTCTAAACGAGCCAAGGCACTGATACACTCATCATGTGCTGAAAGCAATGCCTCAGGCGAGCTGTGTCATTGATCGTATCGCTTTAAGAAAAGTCACGTGACCGACACAGTGACTGTATCGTACCGTTTCACATTGGAGAGGGGTCTGGCTGCAGACACATGGGGAAAGTGGAGCTCCACTCCAGACCGGAAACACGTGACCTCCACCGGATACACGTCATATCTACGATAGACTTTTATTTTTTATTTTTTTTATTCGTATTAGCCATATTAGCCGTGTCCCAATTCCAGGGCGGCAGCTTTCGAAGGCTGTGAAGGCTGCAGCCCTCACCGTAGCTGAAATGTGACAGGTGTAGCCCACGGAGCCGCCCCATCGCCTAGCAACCGAGACACTGTGCTAATGCTAATGCTAACAACACGTACCACGCAGATGACGCACGGGTAATCAAACTTGGAATTTTAGACCAAGTTATTCTAAAAATTCTCATCCAAATCTTATGGCTAAAAACGATAACTTATGTTTAACTTTTGCAAAACAAAACGGCGATATTTCTGGGATACATCTAAAATAGACTAAATTGCCTTAAAGTTTCAAAAACTGATGAGATTATTAATTATTAATAAAGTATTTTTAAATTGATAAAGGATTACATTTATACCGGGGATGTATTTAAGTCATTTTATAAAGAAAAGACATCTCTGCTTTGAGAAAAGATGGTTTATTAAACAATCAAAAGATTGTAAATACTGTAAATACTTTATCATAATGTGAATAGTCAAACATTAAACCCATTACACACACAGACACACACACAAACACAAACACATACTGCATTAATAGGTGAGTACACATAGCTGTATGTCAGTGTACTCTCAAAGAGTTCTTCCCATTTTGCTGAAGCAGAAAAAAAAAATTCCAAAATATGATCAGGTGGAATACCACTGCTTAACTGCAGTACAACAGTACATTCTTATAGTACATGTAATTAGTTACTTTCAAAAGAGACAGAAAGTAAATGGCACATTTCATCATGAATCAAACATCAGTACAGACTGAAAAACATTCAGAAAAACTTATTATGAGCAACTTATATGACTCTAGTTTTGTCTTATACACTTGTTAAGGTCATATAAGGACACATTTATCATGGGACACTTCCTCAGTGATAAAGCTGTTTAGGTGCTCCTCAGCTAAGACGAACAGAAACCACCATTTTACTGTTTCACTTCTGGAGGAAATTAGACGTTAAACCTAAACTTTATGGACACATCACTATTAGGACACATAAGGAACAGCAGCAAACAGAATGTGCAGGAGGAAGGCCTGACGCAACCAGAGGCCCCACAGGTCTGCAGTCTGGACCTCCTCCTCCTCTGTGAGTCTGGACATGGACAGTGGAGACATGACCCAGTGTACTTGGATCATTCAGTCTGATGTATCTCTCGTGTTCTGGAGGAGGAAGAGCAGAATGGGCCTTAAGTCTGACTGGTTGAAATTTCTGTCTGCAGAGTGAAAACCTGTAATGACACACACATTAAGAAAACTATTACATAAATCCAAACAGCTAAATCTCACACATTTGAGAAATGTGTATTTTCAGAAAATTAAATAATGATTTCAACATGAGCATGATTCATTTGCAGCTCTTATTATTATTGGCGTTTTCAATGTAACATGTCCCAGACCTAAACAGAGGCAGGAGTCTGGGTCAGCACCTCCTGCTCAGTGTTGCTTTTCTTTGTCATCTGCATTTGACCCATTTTATGAATCATGAGCATCTCATCAGCCACCAGTTTTGTGGCCCCAGCAGTGTGTTGTGTTCTCATACAGGAAGCTGCAGATGAGAAAAGAACATGAATCTCAAACAGTTGACTCACTGTTATGATATTAGATGTGACAGACCGAACAGACACAAGTGTCTAGTATCTAGTATCTACAACAGTGTCTGCAAAATCTGTTAAATGAGCCTCATGTCCACCTTATATCTGACCTGTCCAGGCAGGATTATTTACTTTTCACTTTACAAACATGCACCGATTGTTAAAAGCAGATAATGTATTCCCAGAATGAAATGCACACGTTGGAGGTTTATGTTACGTGAATATAAGTAAATATAAGCTTTGACATGTTTAATGTTTTATACATTAAACATAAAAAACTGTGTCTTTTATGTTTAATGCATGAAATAATGCGTGTTTTTATCTTACCGCACTTACACTTATACTGGCCAAGTGTTTACAAGTTTAACTCAGTCACTGTGTGTGAAAATGCAGTGTTTTCTCCTCGTAGCTTCATTAAATCACTCCGTGGGCTTCTTTACCCCTAACAGTAAAAACATGATTAGTGTTTGATGGAAATCTGTCCAAATATGAAAGTTTGAGCTGACTTTTCATCGCGTTAGCTGCAGATTACTAATCAAACTTTTAGCTCAAATCTCCGAGGTTCACGCAGTTAAAAATAAACTTATTTGACAGTTTTGTGAGAGTTATGGTCGTATTTTACATTTACAGTTGTGTTAGTAATGATTTCCTAAAGTTAAAGCGTGTTACTCACATGTTTTCTCCGTCTTCCAGATGGTCGTTTTGCTCTGTGTTTATATGTGCGAACAAATTCCATAACGTAAAAACAATCTTATTTAATAAACATTTAATTGCGGTCAAAATAAATCGTTTCGTCGCCCCATAGGTCTACATAAAAGTAGAGATGACATCTTCGTTGGAGGTCACGTGTTTCCGGTCTGGAGTGGAGCTCCACTTTCCCCATGTGTCTGCAGCCAGACCCTTTTGGGGAAGTCCAGCACAGATCGAGCCACTTGCTGCTACGACGCCGTTCGTCACTATGGGCCCTCCAAAAAAAAGAGAAAGTTTTCTTCTGTGTGGGATCATTTTGATCTCATAACACCTGATAAGGTAATTTGTATTCCATTCCTGTTTCCACAGCCTATGCAACCCGAAACATCATCAGTGCTCCAGCATTATTGAGCTCGCCCTGAAAGAGAACAAAATACACCAGGAATGGACACTGGTGGATTAGTATATTGTAATCAGTCACTAATTATTATGGAGGCTAATAATAATCTAAATCAGACACCTTTCCTTTTCACTTCAAGCTTCTAGAAAAGAGGCCCTAAATCTATGCATTGTAAATATTATAATAAAAGATTGCCAACCTTTCAGCATCATTGAGGACGAGGGATTCAGGGAGATGCTGCAGACCCTTGAGCCATCATACGCAATACCAACCAGGAAGGTACTGTAAATGTCAGAAATTGCACTGAACATGAACAGTTTGAATTATTATTATTATTATTATTGTTTGAAGATTTTTTTTTCTGTTTTACAAGCTCTAAAGGAAATGGTATCTAAAAGATATGAAGCAGAAACCCTGAACATAAAGAAAAAATTCCACCAATGCAGTCAGCCTTACAGCTGATATGTGAACTTCAATAAACATGGAGGCCTACTTGGCTGTGACTGGCCGTTTTGTTAATACTGAAAATAAAATGTGCACCACTGTGCTGGGAGTTAAATACTTTCCCCAGAGCCACACAGCAGAGATAATTGCTGAGGTAGATTTATAAAAAATATTCAGTGCATAAAGACTTGTTATTTATTTATGTTTTTTTTTTTTTTTTTTTAGGTCACACAACATCTGATTGCAACCTTTCCTGCAAAGGCCCATTTGTCACACCACTTAACTGATGCTGGTGCAAATATGATAGCAACAGCGAGACTATAAAAAAATTGGGCATAGTCCTTGCATCGCACACACTTTAAATTTGATAGGTCTGACACTTGATCTCAAGATTTTTTAACTAACTGATATCCAAAATAAAACAAAAAAAACAATGTCACCTATTTTCGTTCCAGCACTGTCGCCAAGGAAAAGCTGTGTCAAGTGGAAAGACCACTTTTGAAGCTAATACATGAAGTTCCAACACACTGGAACAGCACTTATCAAATGTTGTTAAGAGTAGCAAGCCAAAAAGAGCCCGTTTGGGTGAGTCTGGCATCCTTAAAAACACCAATGCCTGCACTTACCGATGAAGAGCACAACATCATTGCAGAAATCCTGGTTGTGCTTGCCCCTTTTAATTCTGCTACTGTGGAGTTTTCAGAGGATTATGTATTATGGATGTGTTTATTAACAAATACTATGCATTGTAATAACAAATTAACAATAAAACAATTTAACATGAACAACTGCTAATAATAATGGTACTTGTCCAACCTAAATCATTAGATTATCATGAAAAAGTTCAATATTTTTTGTCACAGATATTTTCCTGAGCCTTTAAATGGTTTCTCAGGCTGGTTCAGTGGGGTAGGCTGCTGACTGGAAAACAAAAAAGAAAAAAAAAAAACATGGGATGAAAAAAAAAGTGGAACAATTCAAGAAATTGGGGGAGCTTTATAAGGATTAGCCCATGTGTGCATTATTTTCCTTTGAATAGACAATTAAAATATATTAATATGGATGAGCCAGTTTAGCCAAATATAACCACTTTTTTTTTTTTTTTTAAACCTAGTAGCTGGTAGGTGTCAGTCAGGCCTGTTCCTACCATTAGTTGCAGCCCAATTTACAGCCACCATTTGTGAAAATAAGGAATTTCTTGAATCACACACACAGTTCTGGCAGTCGCTAGTGAAACCACTGCTTCAGAGCTTTTCCTACGTCAAGCATGTAAAATGCGACCTAAAGTAAATTGAAACATTTTGATTACATGTCTTCGTAAAACTGCACAAGAGTACATATTTAGAGAGCGCCCTTTATTTGTGGTGGGTGGCCCTGACAAGGGCCGTTGTTTTTGGTGAAACGCGCAGGCGCAGTTTACTTGGAGCTGGTGTACTTGGTGACAGCCTTGGTGCCCTCAGACACGGCGTGTTTGGCCAGCTCTCCGGGCAGCAGGAGGCGCACGGCGGTCTGAATCTCCCTGGAAGTGATGGTGGAGCGCTTGTTGTAGTGCGCCAGGCGGGAGGCCTCACTGCCAATCCTCTCGAAAATGTCGTTGACGAAGGAATTCATAATGCTCATGGCCTTGGAGGAGATACCGGTGTCGGGGTGTACCTGCTTGAGCACCTTGTACACGTAGATGGCGTAGCTCTCCTTCCTGGTCTTTCTCTTCTTCTTGCCGCCTTTGCCGGCGGTCTTGGTCACGGCTTTCTTGGAGCCCTTCTTAGGCGCTGTCTTTGCTGGATCAGGCATGACGTGTTCTCCTGAGTGCAGACGAACGTATGCCTTGACGTGCCCCTGTGAGCGGTATTTATACCCGCTCGATGCAAAGCAGCTGCGCCGATCCTAAGATGTGATTGGTCGAATCGCACACCGCTCTCTTTTGTTCTCCTGTTCCACTTGCTGAAGGCTTATTAAATGGCTTGAATTAAATGTAACGTCCTCCTGAATTGATTTAAAGTGATTTAGATGTCCGGATATTGTACATCTATGGCTCAGTCAAAGCGACCTGTTCTCTAAAAAGCTCTCTAAAGGCTCTTTCATGCAATCCCAAAGTAAAGTAAATATCTCCCAAAAACTCTTCAAGTCAGGTGCGTGGTCCAAAGAAAAAAAAAAAAAAAAAAGATTATCAGCGTGCTATGCGTTTTTTCCACTGTAGAAGCCTTTAATAAAGCGAGATCTAAGGAGTTACTTTAAAGAAAGAGTGACGTGTTGCTGTTGGTACACACGGGGTATTGGCATTTTAAGTCATCTTTTCGCGCTTTAAATGCTTGAGTAATATACAGACAGTACTTAAACTTTATTGGTCGACAATAACACTTTGACGCAGTAGCTCATTAAAAGTCTTTATCCGTGAGCTGCAAACGACCAAATTAATTAGCAACTTTACTTCTTAAGTCAGAAACTACAGAGTAGACTGATAAGGCGTTAAGTGTGTATTATTCTGCAGTGAAAACAGGATATAGTGCCCTTTGTGGAGAGTGGGTGGCTCTTAAAAGAGCCGTTGTGTGATGGGGTCGGGCGGTTTCTTTACTTGGCCTTCTCGGTCTTCTTGGGCAGGAGCACGGCCTGGATGTTGGGCAGCACACCACCCTGGGCGATAGTGACGCCTCCGAGCAACTTGTTCAGCTCCTCGTCGTTACGTACGGCGAGCTGCAGGTGACGGGGGATGATACGGGTCTTCTTGTTGTCCCTGGCGGCATTGCCGGCCAACTCCAGGATCTCAGCGGTCAGGTACTCGAGCACTGCGGCCAGGTACACGGGGGCTCCGGCTCCAACGCGCTCGGCGTAGTTGCCCTTCCTGAGCAGCCTGTGCACACGGCCCACGGGAAACTGGAGGCCGGCCCTGGAGGAGCGACTCTTGGCCTTAGCCCTGGCTTTGCCTGCGCCTTTTCCACGTCCAGACATGTTTACTGCGTATTGAGTCTGAGAAGAATCAACTGTGCCGGTACAGCGTTGCGGCTGGATTTATAAAGACCCTGCTGATCGCTGATTGGTCTGTCGGAGTGATAATCCTCCAATAAGAAAAACACGCTCTCTCACACTTTGAGCGCGCAGCTCCAAGCCAGAGCGCACCCTTTTCACAACAATCACATTTATCTTGAAAATAAAGTCAAGCTTTTTCCTCAAACCCTGCCCTTATGGAGGCCCTTGACAGCAGTCCGTCTTTATTTACGAGGAAACAAACCCGTTTAAAACACTGAGAATTAACGGCAAAGAATATTTGTTAAGTATTTTAATGTCTGACCGTTCGAGGGGACACGGATGTCATGTTACATGTTCACATCCGTATTCATAAATCAGAATAAACTGTGGAAATGCGGTGGAGTGAACTCCACGCTTTGGTCTGGAGCTGTGACTGTACGCACACGTTATTATAGAATTATATATTAAACATTGTGTGATGTGAGATGAGTAAGACGTAAAACATTGATGATAAATAACTTCCGTTTGAGGGGAAGTGTGACTCTTGTTTGGTCTAGGTGGCTCTTAAAAGAGCCGTTGTGTTGTTGGGGGTCAGGGACAGGTCGGCTTAAGCCCTCTCTCCGCGGATGCGGCGGGCCAGCTGGATGTCCTTGGGCATGATGGTGACCCTCTTGGCGTGGATAGCGCACAGATTGGTGTCCTCGAACAGACCCACCAGGTAGGCCTCGCTGGCCTCCTGCAGAGCCATGACGGCAGAGCTCTGGAAGCGCAGGTCGGTCTTGAAGTCCTGGGCGATCTCTCTGACGAGGCGCTGGAAGGGCAGCTTGCGGATCAGCAGTTCGGTGGATTTCTGATAACGACGGATCTCTCTGAGAGCCACTGTGCCGGGCCTGTAACGGTGAGGCTTCTTAACACCGCCGGTGGCCGGGGCGCTCTTACGGGCAGCCTTGGTGGCGAGCTGCTTCCTGGGAGCCTTTCCTCCGGTGGATTTACGCGCGGTCTGCTTGGTTCTGGCCATTTTCTCTGCTCTAGGCGTTCAGTGAAAACCTAAGACGGTATGAGGTACGGGGCGGAGGCAGCTGCTTTTTATAGAAACCAGGGCGAAGCTGATTGGCTGCGCGGGGCTCGCGCTCTGGGTTCAAACTTTAACCCCGCCTCTGCCCCGCGCGCTTGTTCAGAGGTTCACACCGTCCGGTCTACGGTTCACGCTGGTGAAGAACGAGCCTTTGTCAAGATACTATCAGAGGCTTTGTTTACACACGCGCGCCAAAATCAGATTTCTGAGATTAGTTAAATGACTTGCAAAATCCACAAACTCTGATGTGAGTAATGAGAGAAAGAGCATGATCGAGAATGAATCACATGACTTTGCTGTTAACAGGGCATCTCAAACAGAGTAATAACTCCAAAAATCAGGTAACAATCTGTTGTTACTGTGTGTTTGTGTTTGTGTTTGTGTGGCGTGTAACCGCGGCGTGTAACCGCAACCGCTCACAAACTTATGTTACGACTCGTACTTTTGTAATAACACGATATCCATTTAAAACGCTAAGGACGCTGTTATATTTTAATCAATTATGCGTGTCCTCTCTGATATCAACCACACACGTTTTTAATTGTATAAAAATATTTTTGTATGAAAGTGCACCATAAATAGGCATAACGTACATGTACTGCTCTCCACACTCACATATGCGGTAACTCATTAATATACTTATTTTATCTACTTCTGTTTGTGCGGTGTAGCAGCATGTGTTTTGAGATATTTGTCATTACAGGAATACTGGTCTGGAGAGGTAAAAACACCTACAGAAGCACCGGGCACAATATTGGACTCTGACAAAGATGAAGCTCTTTAGTGAGAGTGGTGGCTCTTAAAAGAGCCTTTGTGTTGCGGGGGTCGCGTCAGCTGTTACTTTTTGGCCTTCTTAGGGGCGGCCTTCTTGGCGGGGGCCTTCTTGGGGCTCTTCTTCACCGCCTTGGGCTTCTTGGGCGCCGCTTTTTTGGGGCTCTTGGCGGGCTTTTTAGCCGCTGCTTTCTTGGGCGCCGCCTTCTTCGCCGCTTTCTTGGCCGGGGACTTGGGCTTCTTGGCTGCGGGTTTCTTGACGGCCGCCTTCTTCTTGGGGCTCGCTGCTTTCTTGGCCGCGGGCTTCTTAGGCTTGGCGACGGCCTTCTTCTTCACGGTCTTGGGCTTGGCCTCGGTCTTGGCCAGTTTGAAGGAACCGGACGCGCCAGTGCCCTTGGTCTGACTCACGGCACCAGAGGTCACCAGCTTCTTGAGGGTGGTGTTGATGCGCTTGTTGGCCTTGGCCACATCCACGCCCTTCGCGGCCAGAGCCTTCTTCAGAGCGGCCACGGAGACGCCTTTGCGCTCTTTGGAGGCGGCGATCTCGCCGGTGATCAGCTTCTGGAGGCTGGGGCCCTCCTTCTTCTTGGCCGCGGCCTTCTTCCTGGGGGCCTTTGCTTTGGCCGGAGGGGTGGCCGGTACGGGAGCGGTCTCTGTCATGGTTCGGGTTCGTATCGGGTTAGATCCGAGTCTGTGGGCCGGGCGCGCGCGCGGACCACAGTTATAACGCACATGAGAACCGTAGAGACTCAACGCCCTCTGCTCAGCGCCAGTGTCTCCGCTCTGTGTTTTCTCTTCGCAGTTTAAAGTTAAAAATACACAAATGTGACATATTTTCCCTGGACACTTTGATATCATGCTTTAGTGCACAATCACATCTTTTAATTTAACGCACCCTCTTACGCTCAGGATCCTGTGTTTTAAATTACAAGCCCTCAAACCTGGACCATGTCCAGAAGAGCGAGACTCTCAGCTCCGACTTTTTCCTACATTTTGCCTTAAATTGGACAAAACTGTGATATATAAAGAAATACTTTGTATTTAGATAGAGTCTAGAGATGTCAAGCATTAAATGTAAAAGTTAAATTCGTAGAGTGGCTTCTGCGTATAGTTGTAATTAACCGAGTTTTGTGGCTGCAGTAAGCACAACTACGAAGGAGCCTCCCTCAGTTTGCACTGCAGCACTGGTGTTATTCTTCATGTACTTTTAACATGAGGCACAATAATCATATTAACATAATGTTAGCCTCTCCAGTACACTTGTCCATTACAGGAATTGCTGTTTTTTTTGTTTTGTTTTGTGTTTTTTTTTTTTTTTTTGAATTTTAAGTATTATTAGTAAATTGTTCAAAAATGTAGGTTAATGGTTATGTTTACATATAAATCTGACCAATACCAGATTTCTGGGTTAGATTATTTTTTAAAGTAAATCTAAACATCTTCTATTATTAATACAATTTAATATTGATTGTGAAGACAAAAATAATAGTTTAGAAAATTATTTGATAATTTGATCATCACATTACACAATATACACACTAAAAAAAATGCTGGGTTAAAAATAACCTAACCTGTATAAAATAATAACTCAGCACTGAGTCAGTATTGGACCATTACAACTCAGATTTTTTTTTTGACCCAGCAGTTTGGGTTATCATTTCAACCCAAATATTATTTTTCCTACTCAATTCTGAGTTGACTTTTTCTTCTCTGATGGGTGAATTCTATACATGGGTTAATGTTTATAATTACAACCACAGTGCTGTTTAAGAAACATTTCATTAAAAAAAATAATAATAAAAAATGCATCAATGAATTAATTTTATTCAAAACGCCATTAACAGTAACACATTATGAATAAAGCTGTAAAATGTTCATTTGAATTGTCCATATTGTATTTTATACTTTTACACCTTGTTGCTTCAGTCTGAAGGAGATTCCACTGTGAGAACAGAGAGAAATGTTCATGTTTACACATCAGATATATGTGGCTACACAAACTTCATAAAATATAATATTATTAAACATAACACTTACATTTGTGATTGAACAGAAGCATTAGGGCTGAGTCTGAGTCCCTAGGTTCTGCACCCTGCAGTCTGCTCCACTGTAGGCGTTTTCAGGCCGACAGAGAACCGTGCTGGTTTCGGTTCCCTCAAATAATCTTGAACCGACTTGTTCACGCCAGAAATCAGAGCGTTCCGGGAAAAGAAAAGTCGGTTCCCATAGGGAACCAAGTAAAACTTGTTTTTTTAAGCGAACCGTGATGACACTGAAGACGTCAGCATGTTCATCCGGGTCACACGCGGTAAAAAAAAACAAAGAGCAATTGAAACTATCACGTATTAAATCAAAAGTTTTAAGTCTGCAAAAACTATTAGATACCGTTCATTTTGCATGTATCCGTGTTCGCCTGATAAGATTACATCTTTGTATTCGGCGTTGCTGCCGTCTTCTCCACAACAGATCGATGTTGTGGTACATAAAGAATGACTTGTGTAAGTACAAATGCTCGCTGGTGTTGATGCGCTCAATGATTGTTATTTTCCTCTCTGTGACATCCATTTTCATATGGCCTTGTTTTTATTTGGTGGTAAATCCACACCCTCTGTCGATGACGCGTCATGGGTTCTCGCGGGTCGTTCACCAGTGAGCACTTTGGTTCCCAGTGGAAATGGTGCGGGAACCACACGGTTCTGACCAGCCTGAAAACAGCTTATGAGAGGCAAGAACAGAGAGAGGTCACATATAAACAGCTCAAATCTGTTTTCCTCTGACAAATGGACCATGAGAAATATAAAATCAAACCCAAATTCAGACCTAGAATAAAAACACATTGTTCATTTATTTACTAACAGTTGAAGACTATCTAGCTCTTAAGTTATGTCATGTAGATGATTAACAGGCAGACGTCTAAAGTTTATTTAGTAACATTAAGTTGGATTGAAAGAAACGGAGTAGGTACAAAATAAAATTGCCACCTTTGTTCTAATACACATAATTATAAATCCTTTAACCATATCAAGTGGTTGGTTGCTCTTGTGGCTACCCAGCTGACACACTGAGCAATTTTATTTATTTATTTATTTATTAAGATCAGTTTCAATATTATGTTGTATTATTTTAACTAACTGCAGAAGGTGCAGTTCAAAGCACTATTATGTGAAATGAGCAGTTTGTTTGTCTTATGTGAGTAGAGAGTGTCCTTTGAGATGCTACACACTTTTTACACCAAATGTGGTGGAAGAGCTTCCAGAGGACATTCCAGAAGAAACATGTCTTTAGGGAATGGCCCATTTCCTCACCAACCAAAACAATAGAGAGGAGGAAGAATGAGGTTTAGAAGAGACTTTTCTGTTATGTTCACCTGGCTCCCCCTGTATTCTGCAGTGACACCAGGCTACAGGACACATCTGTAAGTTTTAAATTGTGGTTTGTTCCCTGTAAATTATATTGGTTTGCATATTCTATACTCTCAGATGGAAGGCTAGAAAGTTTTTATTAAGTTACAAAGCCTGATAATTTCTGTTAATGACTAGACCCATGAAGTATTATAGCATAAAAAAATAAAACAAATTTTAGCTGTTCCCCATCTGTATCAAACAGAATTGGCCTACAGAATGCTCTGATGGCTTCTGAAATCTAGCAGTTGGTAGTATAATAAATTATTACGTTTAAAATGTAAATAAATGGCATGAGAGAATTGTTCTTTCGCATGTGGGTGGCTCTTAAAAGAGCCGTTGGTGTTTCGGTTCAGATCTGTCAGTTTAACCTCCAAAGCCGTACAGAGTACGGCCTTGTCTCTTCAGAGCATACACCACATCCATGGCGGTCACGGTCTTCCTCTTGGCGTGCTCGGTGTAGGTAACAGCGTCACGGATAACGTTCTCCAGGAAAACCTTGAGCACTCCGCGAGTCTCCTCATAAATGAGACCGGAGATACGCTTCACACCACCACGACGAGCCAGGCGGCGAATAGCGGGTTTAGTGATGCCCTGGATATTATCACGGAGAACCTTACGATGACGCTTGGCGCCGCCTTTTCCGAGTCCTTTACCCCCCTTTCCTCGGCCACTCATGTTTGCTGTTCGTTTATAGGAGATTAAAGAAAGTTACCTAGCTCCTCTCATTTTATGCGGCTTTTGCGGACGTTAGAGAAGACAGTCACTAGGAGGGACCGTTCTTTCGCCAATAGGCAAGCATGGGGGATGGGTGCTGGTCATCCCAAAGGTCGCTTGTGTGTTTTTTCCACTGTTGGAAGAGTGTCAGAACAATTAACACTCGTCGTAGCCTTCCTTTGTATGTCTTTTCATAAGTAGGCAAGGCAAGTTTATTTGTATAGCACAATTCGTACTCAAAGTATTTCAAAGTATTTTACAGAATAAGAAATGCATTAAAATTACAATAAAAACTAATCAAAACATAAATAATCATGAAATTAAAAAGAGAGACAGAGAGAGATTAAATTAGAAGAGTGCGAAATGAAAAATGAAAACCTTTAAGTCATATGCAGAGCTAAACAGAACTGTTTTGAGCATAGATTTAAACATGCCTTTCTCACACCCTTAAGGAAGACTTCCAGGTTTTAGCTGCATGCATCTGAAATGGGTACAAACACATAACATTTAAAAATGGTAAAAAATAGAACTAGAATATGAATCATACTTCCAGATGAGGTTAGGGTTACTTTTTTCCTATTGCTTACATTGTACATTGCCATGAAATACTAGAAAACTAAGTTCCCAAATATGGAACCTAATAATTTCTATAAATGACTCCAAGACCATGCTATATAACAAAATTGGCAGTTGAACAATATTTACATTAGCTACCTCCCATCTGTATTAAAGAATAAATTGTTTAGGTTCTACACTGATTTGGAATTTATGCAGACATTTAGACTTAAGAGTTTCTGTAATAAAATATATGTCGTTCATATTACATGATGCCATATTACAGTGTTGACCCTGATCGTCACTTCATCATATGGTACGGCCACTACATTGATGATTTATTTTTCATTTTTGATGGAACTGAGAATGAGCTCAATAATAATCATTACTATTTATTTACATAACACCAACCAAAACCTAAAAATTGACTCTAGAGTACAGTAAAGAGTCGGCAAACTTTTTAGACATGAAAATTTCTGTAAACAATAAAGGGGAACTAAATCACCCCATCATGCGTGCCGATAGTTTTCACCCTAAACCACTTCTTGACGATATACCTTTTATTCAATTTCAATGACTAAAAAGAATCTGTGATGACCCTAATGACTGACTCACCAGCTAATGAACTGTAGACTCGGTTCCAAACAAGGGGATACAGTAAGAAAATACTCGACAGTGCCCTTACTAAGGTCAAAAACGACAGACCATAAGGATCTTTTCTGCAAAAGACCTAAACACCAACCTCCCCAAAGGACATTTCTCTCTATGCAATTTGACAATTATCATATAACATTAGACAATTAAAATAAAACTAACTGGGGGATTTTACAGAGCGATTCCACACAGAGCGATACCCCACACTCTAAACTGTGTTTAATTCCTTTAGGAGAGCACCGAACCTAAAAAACCACCTGGTTCGGAATTACCTTACCCCAACAAAAAGGGAGACATGGCTATCAAAAAAAGACTGGAATGCATAAATGTGGAAATATTTGAAATATCATTGACCATTTACCATTTACCATTGCGAAGAGGAGACAGGTTGCCCCCACTCTTGACAGTTGGTCACCAAATACCCGGGTATTTTTCGTAACCTTCGTTACAAAATTTCTAGTGCTTTCTTCTTCTTGATGACAATGACTGAAAAGCAATTCTTGAAGTGTACAGTGTAAATCTAAGGGATATATGTATTATTGACTATACTCCAGTGTATACAGAACAGTGTTTTTTTTTGTTTGTTTGTTTTGTTTTTATGTTATGAATGGTATGTTATCAATATACTTGGATTGAACATGTGATATTGTTTTTTTTTTTTAACTAACACATGTCTGGGGTCACGACTCCTGCTCACTCAGCCCTGATGAAGACTAAATATCCCACATGACTGCGTGGCGTGACTATGAATAAATACACCACAAATGAGAGTGCCTCTGCCATCCTTTTTACTACTCCACAATAATTAAGCCCTCCGGTTTGATGAGTGTAAGTTTTTGATCCAGTGCAGCACTCCAGTAGCACTAATTATTATAATTTTGTTTTTATTTATTTATTTATTTTAAATTGTAATATGGTGTTTGACAACTGAAGGAATCCAGGAGAAGGAAGTGGGGAAAGGGAACTGAGCAACTTCAAAGTGGGTGAGATTGTTGAACTTCATTAATAAGCCTTTTTAGTTTTTTTTTTTTTTTGGCCAAAGCTTAAATACAATTGGACTAACTACAATGCAGTGTCATTTTGAAGAGAGATGCATAAAAAAGTAAAGCTGTCAGTTTCATCTAATCTTGAAATGAAGAAAAAAGTAAGCCTCCAGAGTTTCATGAATTGTTAGGGACAAACAACTCACCTCCATTTTAAGTCCAAGTTTACTGTGATTTTGGGTTTCTTCTCTATTGCTTTGCCTGTAATGTGCTCTGTACAGAATTAATGTATCCAGGTTTTTTTTCCTTTTCCTCATTGCGTGTAATTTCATGGTTTAACTAATCACTTTGAGAACTGATTCTTAATAATCTAAAAGCTACCTGGGCTATTACACTGGTGTGATTTCATTTTGGGCTAGAGTATCAAAAATAACTTTAAAACCCAAAAATGAACCGGAAAATGCCTTTTTTTAGAGCGGGTGACCCTGAAAAGGGCCGTTGTTTTCATTTAAGGTGCAGACGCAGTTTACTTTGAGCTGGTGTACTTGGTCACGGCCTTGGTGCCCTCGGACACGGCGTGCTTTGCCAGCTCTCCGGGCAGCAGGAGGCGCACGGCGGTCTGAATCTCCCTGGAAGTGATGGTTGAGCGCTTGTTGTAGTGCGCCAGGCGGGAGGCCTCACCGCCGATCCTCTCGAAAATGTCGTTGACGAAGGAGTTCATTATGCTCATAGCCTTGGAGGAGATGCCGGTGTCGGGGTGTACCTGCTTAAGCACCTTGTACACGTAGATAGCGTAGCTCTCCTTCCTGGTCTTTCTCTTCTTCTTGCCGCCTTTGCCAGCTGTCTTAGTTACGGCTTTCTTGGAGCCCTTCTTGGGCGCGGTCTTTGCTGGATCAGGCATACTATGCTCTTCCGAGTACAGACAAACGGATGCTTGAGTATGCGCCTGTGAGCAATATTTATACCCACCTCATGCAAAACAGCTGTGCCGAGTCTCAGAGCTGATTGGTCCAATTGAATAGATTATTTTTCTCATTTTTTTCTTACAGTAGTGTCGGTTTACCTGATAATAGTAATTATAGTAATATACCGAAATGCTAACATAAAACGAAATCTATAATAGCCTCCGAAATGTATATATTTTTGTGTGGAAACAGCAAGCTTTGAGTGCGTTCACCTTCACCTTCACAAAAAGTTGTCACTTCAAGTGTCTTTTTTTTCCTTTTTCCTAAACAATGTTTGAATTCATAAATCATGCACCATAACAAGTTCTACAAATACAACTCTCAAGCTGGTCATTTGGTCTTGTTTTGTAGCCTTATTTTGTTTAGAGATCAGAATAGCATTCCTTTACAATACAAAACTAGGGCCTGAAATAAACAGGAACATACATACAACTGTATGTACAGCCTGTGCTCACTGCTCAGATCTTTCTCCCTGCTTAGTTTGATGTGAGTATTGTACGACAAACATTTTACATCCTTTGGTTTTACAGGTGCTCAAATTGTTTGGTCAAATGTCCAAAAGTTTAATTTGGATCTTACTTTTCTTTACATTAAAGAAGGAATCTGCTGACTTCTGATTAGCTGAAAGTTGGTCAAGGTATACAATCAGAGGCCCAGGCTCAACATTACACCATAAACATACATGAAGGAGACCCACAGACAGCTCCGAAGTCGTTTTTCCTTGTTGTGCAATATTGTTGGTTTAATTGTGACTAGGAGAAAGTTAGCGCTTTATCATATGTGGGTGGCTCTTAAAAGAGCCGTTGGTGTTTCAGTTCGTCTGTCCATTTAACCTCCAAAACCGTACAGAGTACGGCCTTGTCTCTTCAGGGCATACACCACATCCATGGCGGTCACGGTCTTCCTTTTAGCGTGCTCGGTGTAGGTAACGGCGTCACGGATGACGTTCTCCAGGAAAACCTTAAGCACTCCGCGAGTCTCCTCATAGATGAGCCCAGAGATACGCTTCACACCACCACGGCGAGCCAAGCGGCGGATCGCGGGCTTGGTAATACCCTGGATGTTATCACGGAGAACCTTACGGTGACGCTTAGCGCCTCCTTTTCCGAGTCCTTTACCTCCCTTTCCGCGGCCACTCATTTTCGTTGTTTAGCGATAGCTGATCAAGATGACAACGCAGTTCTCTGCCGCTGCTTATGTTTAGTCTTAGCGGACGTAGGTGAAAACATAGTACATCCTGAAGCGCAACTGCGCATGTGTCAGCGCTCCTGCAGTCGTTTTATTTTACTTTACATTACACAAGGTAATTTACGCCATATATCTACAGCGCATAGTATCGTTTTTCAGGCTCAAAATCTTATTATTATCAAATTTTTGGAGTACTATTCTGAAAGTGTCATGAAACTGAAAAATCAGCTGGATTATTTTTGATCAGGACAACTTAAATTACACACGACCCAATCTGTGCTTTGTATGTCATTTAAGTATAAATTACAATGAGATATTGCTGTGCATAGGAACAAAGCCACTGTAAGGTTAAATTGACAATTTGACAGCCTCTCAATCAGACCAGAGGCTCGTTAGAAAACATTAAGCATAGACCTACATTAAAATGTTTAGTGTAGTTTCTAGTAGTAGTCTCTCTAAGTAGAGGATTGACTCCCTCTGACCATGTAATTAATATTGCGTAAATCTAACGTTAGACTAGAGAAAATCACACCAAAAATATAACATACCAGCTACACAATGAGATGTTACTTTACTTAAATCAAGCACATTATTATGCTTAAATTTAAAACTGCAGGTGGAAGTTATATTCTAACAACCAACACATAACACACATTTTAAACAACCATTTGTTTAAAAGTGTTTTTTTTTTTTTTTTTTTTACATTTTTGCTTCCTCATTAAAATGAACATGGCCTTGGACTTCATCAAGACTGAACTACAACCCTGCCATACATCAACTAAATGTATATAGGCTACAAGGCTAGACTGTTTTGAGTTTTGCAATACAGTGTATTGCAATAATGAATGTAACTAGCTGAATGTAGCTAATTAACTGTCGTGTGAATTATTACAACCTCATCAAATGTCCATGCCTAGTTAAAATGTATAAAACAAATGGATCATTTTATTATTTAAAAATTCTTCTGAGACAACAAGTTGCTGCATTTTCACAATAGTGTATTTCATTCATCATTCTTGATCTGATAATCTTCTTACTTCTCGGCGATGGCTGGGAGCAAAGGGGCTTTAAATCGCCTGAATTTTCTCGAGTTTGGTCGACATCCAGATGTCCACACACGCACAACACAGGAAGTAACATTTACACTTCCTGTTTTGTTTTCAATACAAAGTATATTTCCATTGACTTGATCAGCTTTGTCAAACTTAGGAGTCATTTTGTTGTTAACGGCTTGCTGTTGATCTTTGGGTTCCTTTTGTTCATATGACACAGGATTTCCAGATGTATTTTCCGTTGAACGTTCACTGGAAGAGCTTTGGTCACTCATCTCCCAGGTTTTCTGCCAGCCTCCTCCTCGCAGCATTCGGGCAGCAGTGAGAAAAGGATCTTCTTTGTTGTCATTTTCAGTCATGGATTTCATGGCTCTTTCTCGCTCACAGTCTAGTTTGCACTCCATATTTGACTTCTGTAGGGCAACAGAAAAATTTGAAATTGGTGAGAAAACACATAAGTAATTTCTGGTGGTTTTTAGATTCTAGAGGCTTAAGGGCCAAAACTGTGATGAACCAGATTTTTATAAATAGCCAAACAGTTTCTATGCAAATAATCACAGAACTGAAGAAAAAAAAAACATGGACATCAGCAACGTGTAGAATTAATAAAGTGCATTTAAGAAGCCAAGGGTCAGTTTTACCCTTTGATTACATTGTACTTTACTATAAAATGTCCAAAAGCTAAATGCACAGATGTTGAAAGTGATCATTTCTATAAATGACTAGACCTAAACACCCTCTGTATGAAATCTGGATTAACAAAAATCTGGATTTTAACAATATAGCATAATATTTTAGCTGCCCTCATCTGTATTACCGGTAAATATTATTAGCCTTTAAAATGTTGTAATGAAACCCACTAATACCAACTGGACCCACAATTACAATGGCATTTCAACAGTGAATTATTTGTTTCTCAAACTGTGGTACATGGACTCTCTGCAGTTTCAGAATTCATTTTATTTAGGGACAAATCTACAATGCTTTTGTCTCGCTTGTCGTCTTGACCATTATTTAGACCTACCTTGAACATGGTTCAGGATGCATTCACACTTAGTTCTGGCCCAGTTTGGTTCTAAATGTAGACTTGGTTTAGTCTTGTTCTATTCCTGGTTTAGTCCCAATTTTGATATGGTGATTGTGCAAGTATGACTGCACCCTTTCAGTTAATTTTAGACCTGGTTTAGTAAATTTTTAGTCCATGTTTAGCCATAATTTAAACCTAATATAGGTCAGGTTTAGTCAAAAATCATCTCAGGTACTATCCTAGTTGATGTTAAAAAAATTGACAATAACAGTCTCACAATGAAACTTGTCTATGAAACTATGAATGAAACAATGTCTTTGCATATTGCTTCTAATCATTCGCTATGCCAGCTGTCATCTGCTACATCTTGCAAGTAACCCACTGACCTACTTTTTCAATAAGTGTTCCATGTACTTAATACTATTACTAAACTACTGCTACTACTACTACTACTACTACTACTGCTAGTTTTGCTTTTACTACTACTATTACTAATACTACAGATTCTATTCATTGCTCTAAATTAAAAATGAATGAAACCCCTACCCCAGTGGCATACAGCTGCTGCAGAACACTCCAGAGCTCCAGGCTTCACAAAAGCTTTTTTTTTCTCTCCAGGATTTGACCCCATTGCCGTTTCCCCCAAATACCTCCCTCTCCCCCCTCCACTCTCTTAAAGGGAAAGTTGCACTGTTCGAATGTGTTTTGGAAAAGTTTGGTCCCCTTGTTACAGATATATTGACAGTGGCTGCGGCTACATATACACTCGTGTTTTTTTGTTGTTGTTGTTTTTTGTAAGTTGAAGGTGCATTCTGTAACTTTTCTGGTGGAGGGTCTGTTAAATTCAGTCTGTTATTGCTTTATCTTGAATGTTACACAGTATGGCAACCTTTCTTTCTATCTTCATGGAGACCAAACCAGACCAAGTTACAGGTCAGATCTGTAGAGAGACAACTCCACTCAGAGTCAGAATGCCTGTTTTTCTTGGTATTTTTGAGCTATAAATCCACCTGTAATTGAATAAATGTAACATAGAGATGTTTAATGCCATACTGTGGAATATTTCAAACAGAGCAGTGACATATCCATAAAAAGCAAGCAAGTGATAGACCCTTAACAAAAAAGTTACATAGTGCATCTTTAAAAGACCATCAATACAACATTTAAAACACAAAATAATGTAATTTCTTTCTGAACATTGTCCTTCAGATTTTGTTATTTGCGTATCATTTAAATAATCCTACATTTCCAGGAATCACATATTAATCAGATTTTGGTGTGCATGTTAATAAAGCTGTGCCTAAATGTTGGGGCAGTGTTTACTAATTTAGACTAACTTGAACATTTTGTCCTTCTTTGGGTCCCGTAGATTTTCTGGTCCAGTTGAAGATCCAGTTGTTAGAAAGGCTGTACTTTGACAGCATAATATTTGTTTAGATGGTAATTGGTTCAGGTGGGTGCCACAGGGAATTCATCGTTGCGATCCAAAGTGTATAAATGCCCTTGCCAGACAAGACAGTTCTGTTTGAATACAGAAGGGTCTGGAATCAGAGCATATATATATATATATATATACACACACACACACACACACAACATCTGTTATGAAAATCTTGTCCTCTATGCCCCTAAGGTTATTATAACCTCATGTGGTCAGGGCCTGAACATCCAGATACGACTGATAATGTAGTTTATCTGTTTGCTTTGATTACGCATCTATTTATTATTTAACTAACACTATCTGAAGATCAACAAGTTTGTCTAAAGCATACAGAGGAATACAGTTCTTGTAATATTGTCTATTTTCTGATCTATATTATGTTGTTTCAGTATCAAAAACATGACCCATCTTGTGCTGTCATGTGGTAACACAGGAAGAATAAAAGGTAAATGGTAGCTGTTGAAGTTGAAAACCACTTCATGACATCACAAGGTGGACCAAATAATTTTGAGCTTTGGAAATGTAAATAGACTAATAATAAAGCAAATATATGTGCTTAATGCTCAGTCAGTTTTGTATAATGTAGGACCCTTAAATATTGTGCAAAATCAACTTTTATGAGCTTTTAATCATGTTATAATAGTTCATATTCAGCAGTAACTTTAAAAATGCATGTTCATTTACCCCATATCCCCACCCACATCCCTGCAATGATAGAAAAGTTAATCTTATGTACTGATTTTTCTATTACCATAGAGGAAAATCAGTTTTATGCATTGGTAAACTGTGTGATGAAGCACCAGAAAATCAATTAGTGTTATGGATTATTGGATTATCTGATTACTCTTATCTGATTTCTGTGGCCATGTGAATGTAGCCACTGAGCTGTTGACCTTAGTGGAGGGCATTGGGGCATGGTTCAAACAGGGGGCAGATATCAGGGTGTAGGTTAGGTTATCAAGTTTGTGTGTAAATGACAGAAAAAGGCAAGGACAGAACATACTGGTTCAACACAGTCACATTGCAGCACGTTCCAAAGACTTTTTAGTTAGTTTATTTGTTTAAATATGTCAAGGTAATTTCCCTTGTGTAGCAATAAAGTCTATTCAACAAGTCAAAATGTGGTGTTAGATCTTCATCAAAAGGAGGACTTGTGGATATCAGGGCGACAATAATTTCTAAGATTGTAGTCCTTTAGTCATTTAGAGGAACAATTAATTTTAATTAGATAATAAAGATTTATATGAGACAGTTGCAGAAAGGACAAATTAGTGAGTAATTGAGTTAGCTGAAGATTTGGTATTTTTAGTATTAGCATGTAAATATACATATCAATAAATATCATGACAAGTTTAATTTTTTGATAAATACATACATTTATTTTGTATTACTATATTTCTGTATTCTTATTTTTATTTATACATACACACTTGTATAATTATGTCTTATTTGACACCAATCTTTTGCAATTTTTGCTACTTATTTTGAATTTATTATTACAATTTATATTTTTGCTCTTAGTAATTATTATTATATTATTATATTGTAATGTATGGGCCATTGTATCCAAATAACTTCCCTTGTGGATCAGTAAAGTTTGTCCAAGTCTAAGCCTGATGGTTTCCAATGTTCTTTTTATAAACTTTTATTTTTTTATTTTATTTTTTTCTGCATAGAGTTTTTTTTTGTTTGATTGTTTGTTTTTTTGCATGAATTCCTGTGCTTGTAGTTTTGAGCGTGCATCTTGGGTCAGAGACATGCGTAATATTTTTTTAGAACTTGCCCCTTTGTCCCTTTTTTAGCCAACTGAATATTCAGCAGGTCTTTATAGACAACCAAAAATGTCTTGATTCAAACTAAAGTCCTAATAGTCTTCCTATTGTGGTACAATTGTTATCTTATCTTAAGTTTAAGTATCTACAAGAATCAAATGTCATTCAAATCATCGAATGAAGATATGACTTGGCAGCACTATTTTTTCCCCTTATGTTTCTAAGAAAGTCTGTAGTTGACAAAGGATTTCAGGGCCACACCTCTTTCTGGTTTCTGTTTAATCTGTATTTGCATGCTATTAAAATCAATGAGGAAAAATGTCATTGTGTTATTGTCCCTTTAATGTGGTTGTTAGAAGGTTTCAACAACAATCAAAAATTTCAGAAGAAGAAGAACTTTTGGGCAATTGATAATACATCCCGTGACTGTCAACAAAGGTGTAACAATGTGTAACTTGGATCTATGATCCGCTTGTATCCATGGAGACATTACTGTTGAATATTGCATAGTGTAGCATGAATCTGTTTTGTGTTTAATCAGTTACACACGTCACACATTATTGCCTCTCTACTGATCTGACCAGATTGGCCTGGTGGCGTCACTTGCTTGTTTCCATGAAGCTAGTGTTTAATGCCAGACTGTGGGATTTTTCAGATAAAAAAATAACATTCCCATAAAGACATCAGGGGGCTGAACCTTCTAGTTAGACTGAATCTTTAAAGAAATTAGATAAGCTTTTACATTGCATTACTAATTATAGCCTATAATGTAATTTGTTATTTTGTTGTGTTGTTTATACACTGCCATATTTAACACTACGGTTAACTTGAATTTATGGTTTATTTTACTCACAAATACAAATTTGAGGATCTTAATGATTTTGATAAAGTAACAGTTACTTTCACTGTGAAAAAAGCACATTACTTGGCAATTAGAATAAAGTCAACTTGAATGAGACAAAAAACCTCAACATATTGTTGCCAAGAGTTCCAGTCTGTTCCGGTCCTCCTTATGCTATCTCCCTGTTTTTCCTACAGCTGCTACTCATTCCCTGATCATGCTGTCTCTCTCTGTTCTCTATATCCTCTCCCTGCTCGTTTAGGCTTTGTTAGATTACACCTGTGCAGCTGTTTTGTTTCTTCCAGCTTTTTTGAGACCTAAGTGTGGGGGCCTTGGTTGAGTTGACATGGAATAACTGAGCTATGTAAGTTTTGCAGCGTAAGACTAAGAAATATTCAAATTCTTGTGTACTTGATGCAGATCTAAATGGCACTATTGCAGTATATAACCTGTTTTTACTCTAGCTTGTCAATATCAGTAACATTTACTTGCTTAGTTCAAGGCAATCTGTTTCCATGGTTTTACCAAGTAAGATTAATTCACTCTTAAAGTCAAGGTTACTACATATTTCACATTCGAGGAATGGATTGATTAACTGGCACAGCTTCACAACATGAGCTCTATGAATGAAAACTAAAGTACACTTAATTGCTATGTCTAGTTAGATGAAAGAGGAATTTACTGCACACTGCACTGAGGAATTACTGGTAAGCTCAGTTTAAGATTCACAGTCCACTTTAGTCAGATTTTTCAAAGCAATCGGTTTCCAAGATTAGTAAGGTTTACTTATTAGACTTATTCAATTTTACATTGTAGTGTATATGGTTTCAAGTTCACCTGCATGCCTTTGAGCCCATAGTAACACAGGGAGGAGTGGAAGATTATAGCCAAAGGAGCAACATAACCATGGCAACAAGCATGATGAGGCCCTTCTGCAATTTAAAGAAGAGTCAGGTTTGTGGAGATGCAAGCACAAGATGCAAGTTGGTTATACAATACAGTAAATAAGTGAATAACTATAGATAGAAGGTGGTATTCAGTACAAATTGTATGTAGTTTTTAGACACTCTTCTGTCAGTCAGCCCCAGGGCAACTGCAGCTATAGAGTCTGTTATCCCTCAGTCATCCAGTTAGTGTCCACACACTGCAAAAACTAAAACCAAGCCATGTTAAGATTATTTGAATTTAGAAAGTTTTTTATCGTGATTCCAATAAATTTCACTTGACAAGTAAAATGATCTGCCAATGAAACAAGACTTTTTGTACTTAAAATATGAAAATACAACTTGTTACACTTAAAATAAGAAAAACAACAACTTTTTGCACATAAAATAAGAATCAAAATAGCATGTTGCCTGAATTAAGAAAAACACCTTTCTTCCATTTGCAGATCATTTTACTTGTCAAGTTGAAATGTATACAAATAAAGAAAATTTGTCTTAACTGAAGTCATTTTCATTAGCCTACATATTATTTTTTTCCCTCTAACAAAAAGAAAAAATAAATTGTGTCAAATGGACAAAAGGATCGAGTGAAGACATTTCACATGGTCAGATTGACAGACACTACACTGAAACTATAATAACATTACACTGAAACTACAACAAAACAAGATTGAAACTAACACACCTATTTATTTACCTTTTCTGTTTGTTAGCTGGGCCTATTCAATAGACATAGCTAATTGATAATTGATTTTCTTTTCTTTTTTCCTGTGCAGTTATAGAGATTACTGCAATCATTACTTCTGATTGTGTAGATTGAAAGAATAAAACAGTAAAGTGTGTAAATAGGGCATTACATTAAACAAACATTTCAATATTATGTTTAAATGTGTTCTGATTAAGACAGCGTAAAATAAACCTTACCACACCTCAAACCTGAATCTTTCTGGGAGTTCAGAATAATAATGATGACGCTAGCCAAACCAGCCAGTCTGTCCAGTTTCACTGCTCATCAGTCAATCCCTTATTCACCTGCACTTTTGATGAAACTTCACTGAGAATCAGACTGAACCAAGATACAGAGAGATAAAACTAATCAAAGACAGGTAAGAAAATACTCATAGATTTCAGAATTATTGAAAATGTTGCCTTGGCTATTAATAAAAATATATGTTGAATCGGAAAATGTCCTCAAAATGTTGCATATAATAATTTAAATGTGCTTTTTTATAATATTGCGTGGTTTAGTTCAGTCAATTAATGTTGTTCAAATGCAGATCTATGTTTTTATAAAGCAAATTCTCGAGTCTAGTCTATGATAGAAATGACCAGGTTCAACATTTGTGAATTTACCTTTTGGATATTTCCTGAAAAAATTAAAATGGTATTACTTGAGTGTCTCTTGCCTAAAAGTATGACAGCAGTTTATAAAAATTACTGTAGTTCTGCAATCGCTTTTTATAGATTTTGTTGTTATTTTGTTTAATGTAGTCAGAATAAGATTTAAAACATGATTTCAACATTATGAGAAAAGTTACATGTGTTTTCCAACACAACATATTACAGTAATTGTCTGATGTGATCTTTTAGTATAATAGTTCTGCTACAGAAAAGAAAATACAAAAGAAGAAATAAAAACTTATAAAGAAAGCTGAATCCCATAGTTCTATGTTGGGGTTTTGACTTTTATTGATTTATTGACAACATCTTTTACTTGATTTAATTGACTTTTTTGTTTTACTTTTGATTTATACCTGGATAATATTTAAGTCGACGGTTAAAGTAGTGATGTTTGTAGTATAGACATTGTTGCTCAAGCAAGATTTCAAAGCTTTTTGGTTGATGCCTTTTTTGTGAATCCGATAAACTGATAAACTTAAGCTGTTTACATACTTGAACAGTGTAGTAATAACTCCAGCCCTTATCTGAACAGGAACATCATCAGATAAGATGTACAAGGATTTATTGTGTAAATCTATCTGTAGCTTTCAAAAACAAATATAAGCTATAACATTTTGGGTTATTTTCTAAAGACAGTCGAGTAAAGCGTGTTTACCTTGTTGACATTTTTCGGCTGCTAGCTGTAGGCCATCATCATCATCTAGCAGCTCACAGCCAAAATATGTCAGTAAGGTAAATGCATCTTTGGTTTAACTAATGTTGGCCTTAAATTTTTTTATTTTATTTCAGAAAACATCATGACGTCCAAAATGGTGGTGAGGCAGCCTCAGCCGGTGATGGACTCGCTGGTTTCAGATGAGTGGAGCACTGGAATCTGCGACTGCTGCCAGGACGTACCTGAATGTAAGGTCCATATGAGCAGAGACAGGAGCAGAGACAGGAGCAGAGACAGGAGCAGAGACAGGAGCAGAGACAGGAGCAGAGACAGGAGCAGAGACAGAGCAGAGACAGAGCAGAGACAGGTGCAGAGACGGGACAGAGACAGGAGCAGAGGTAGGGGCAGACAGGAGTGTTTTACAATGCAGTATTCATTTGTCAAAGGATACAATGTAAGTCATCAAGTATTCACAGCTTTATCATCCAAGTACTAATCAGGCCTGACTTGTTTAGCTTACAAAGTAAATCAAAAGAACCCCATTTACTGGCTTATCGGTTTCTATTGGATGGGCAGTGGACATTTATTTGTTCATCTATTGCCATCTATTCTGACACACAGTAGTTATAGCCAAGTCCTGCAGCTGCTTCTGTCATTTTCTCAGAATTACTATGTGCGGTCACTTACTGGAAAGAAAAGGGAAAAATGTCATTGTTTTCAGGTTGTTTTGCCTTCTGGTGCATGCCTTGTTTTGCCTGTATAACCACCAAGAGATACGGACAGTGTCTGTGTCTCCCCCTGCTGGACATGTTTGGCCTCATCCCTCCCATCTCGATGTCTATGAGAGTTTCTATGAGACACCGATACGGTATCAAAGTAAGAACGAACTAAAAAAGTTATTTACATAATAAAATGTATACACAAATCTTTGTTGTAAAACTTGTAGTAAGATTTCTGAAATATTTCGAATTATTCTAGTTCAGGTTCATGTTTCAGTCTCTCAAATGTGAATACTCCTGTTTACAGTTGTTTACAGTGCATTCTGAACAAAATCCTACTTTTTAATATTATAAATACAATGCACAGCCTTTTTTTTTTCCAAATCCCATCCCCATTATAAACATAAAGCTTATTTTTTCTTTTCTCTCTCTAGTCTGAATTGTAATCTATACAATACAGTACAGTACAATAGTTTTCTCATTTCAACATAGAGCCTATATTTTAGATCAAAAGTTGCCAAACCTTTTGACCACATAGTTCAACTTTTTTTTTTTTTTTTTTTTTTTTCAGTATATAAGCTATAACATTGAGTTTTAAATTGTTGATCACAATATAGCAATGGTCCTAACATGTGCTCTTTGTTTTTTCAGGGGGACATGTGTAATGACTGTGTGTACTCGTTCTTCTGTACGCCCTGCAGCTGGTGCCAAATGTCCCGAGAGATGAAGAGGAGGGAGATCCCAATTGTTTTGGTCAATGCTACACACAGATGAAGCATTTAAAGGGCAAATATTATGCTCTTTGCTGATTATAATGTATTTTTCCCTCTTCACAAACATACCTAGAGTTGTGTTTTGTTTCATTCACACATGTTTAACGGAAATATCCTGCATATTTAGTCTGAGTTCTTCTCTCAAACAGAAAACACTCTGTTCCATCTTATGATGTCATGTGGTAATAAAGGAAGTGCTCCTCTGTGTTTTTTTTAACTCCACACACCTTATGTAGAATCATTTGGATAATTTCAGCCCTACAATTGCAATCTCTACTGAACTAAAGTTAAAAGATAGCGGTTAATTGAACATTTTCACTACATGGCATCGCAAGGTAGAACCAAATATTTTAAGCTTCGAACAAAACACAACTCCAGGTTTGTTTTTGATGAGGTAACAAAATTCTGACATGGCTAAAAGCTCACAAGAGTCAATTTAGTATAATGGGACAAAATTAGATTCTCATAGTGTATACATGTATTTAACAATAAACCTTTCTTTAAATAAGATATATTTAGACCCCATGCTATGCAACATTCTACTATGAAAAAATACATATTTGTTTAGATAGTACTCAGACTGATGTTATGACTGAAGGCTTTAGGGGAACACAACTGGATAATAGAAAGATTTGAAATACCTTAATCGCAGTACATGTATTAGCCTTTATATCCTGGGATAATGTATGCTTATATTTAATGTAACTATAATTTATTGAATGTTTTTTTCCCTCAACTCAAAAAAAAAAGTTAATATATTTAATCATCATATTCTAACAATGTTGTTTTTACAGTATAAGCATTACTCTTTACAAATCTTAGCCTAAATGGATTAAATATATAGATATTTTACACTTTTGTATATTTTTTCACTGGTCTAATCAATTAATATTTTCTACCTTTGTAAATAAATAATAATAATGATTTTGTTTCATTATTTGTTTAGCCTGATTCATTTTCTTAATGGGTTTAATAAATATAGCAGTTTACGTGAGACACACATCACCTGCACAGATATTGTCCACTAGAGGGAGCTGTGGTACTTGTAATGATAATCACTTGGGGTCACTGCATCTTAAATTGATTGTTTTGTGCATGTTTCAGTGACCCAGAAAGGAAGCAGGCAAAATTAACAAATGACAAAGCAAAATGATGGACCAGTTTTCCTAAGGTACTTATTTCCCATCTAACTATTGACAGTGTGTCATCATGATTCAAAAATCTGGAATTTGTACATGTTTCTAAGTATTTGGAACATGATAATTCCCTTTAGGAAGAAATAATGAGGGAGTAGTGTGTCCATTGTCTAATACAAATGTAATCCCAGGATTGCCAACAAGATGCAAAATTTTGTGCAATCAAAACAGCAGAGTGAAACCTGTTTTACTGATTTTATTTTGTTGTTTTGTGTATGTTTGTTTGTTTGTTTGTTTGTTTTTAATGATGGTAGCATTCTGTTGGATGGTTTTAGAAGTTAATTTGCTGATAAGCGAGATATAGTGAAGCAGTTTATGTAAATTCAGGTTCACTGTGGATTCTTATTTTGGATATTTTCAGTAATTCTGTTCAAATGGACCTGGATATTGGCTCTTATCAGAATCTGAAGAGTTAGCAAAGTCACACTTGGAGGTGCAGTGGTTTAGGTTTAGGCTTATACTCTTCCCCTATAGCAGGACAGTTTTGAGTTATATTTCCAAAGTAGTAGAGTTTGTCATTCAGTCCAATAAAAATTTTTGTATATACATTTTACCAATCCATAGTCTCCAAAGTGCTGTATAGTATAGGCACAATATAAATGAACACACTGAATAAAATGCAGCATAAAAATCAGTAAGCAACACAAAAAATATATATAAAAATCAATAAAAGACAGTCAGAGGACCACACAATTAATAGCCAGTGAGTAAATTGTGGTTTTACAGGAGATTTAAAGCATCAGTTGAAGTCATCATTTGTACAGGTTCCCTCCAGTTTTTAACAGTATAGAAGAGATTATGATTTGTATCGCAGCAGGGATAGTCTCCAATAAAAATTCAAATGAAATGGATCAGATCTAATACTCATTTTGGCCCATTACTTCCAATAACCCTTCTCATCAATATTTTTAAATTTCCCTATAGCTTTCTCTTTGCTGGTTTTGCGTTTGGACTGTGTAAGCCGTGTGCATTGGGGTTGTTTTAAATGGGATTATAATGACAGTTATGGTTTGGTAGAATTGATGTTTTTGACTTTTATTAGGTGTTAGAGGAGGGGCGGTTCCCAGCGGCCCATAAAAAAAAAGTAGAGGAATTTTAATTGGTCGAAACCACTGGTGCAGTCTTTGTTCTGTGCGCTCCAACTAGGCTTCTGTTGCACCAAAACCTGATTTAGAAACTGTGAATTTAACCCCACGCCCCTCTGAAACACATAGAGACACGACTCTTAGCCTCTTAGCTTAGTTTTTTCATGGACAAAATGGCCGCTTTTCCTTCGCTCATTTCCTCTAATCAAAAAGTGTTGAGGAGTAATTTTACACAGCTTCATTCATGTAGTGAACACAACAGGGGAGGTGAGTGGCCACCTACAGTATATGGTGTTATAATTTTAAAATGTATTGAAAGATAATAAAAATGTGCACATATTTTAATTACTTTTTTTATAGATAAAAAAAATTATTAAGTGAATGAATACAATTCCAACAGAGGAATTCCAGATATTACAGTTAATTTTACTAAGGTGCTGTTCAGAACTTTTCTGGTTCTGTGTGGTTGTTATGCTTTGATTTGCATATATGGTATTTATTCAGTAACAGGTGTTTTTATTGATTAAAAAAAACAAAACAAAACAAAAAATAAATCATTAAAATTATTTTGGTGCCTCTCTCTCCATAGATTTTACTAACCCAGCCTGCCTGGTGGTATTTGTTTTTCTCTATGAAGATAACAATGTTTAAAGGTCCTACAGTATGTTACACAAAATGAATTCCTGTGAGCTTTAAAACATGTTATAATGTTGTTACCTCATCAAAAACAGATCTGAAAGTTGTATTTTGTTTCATTCAGCAATCCTGGATTAAGTCCATCTTGAACTCAAAATGCTCTGTTCCACCTTGCGATGTCATGTAGTGGTAGTTTGTGGCAGCTACCTTTTGCCTTTAGTTCAGTAGAGATTGACTGAAATTATTCAAATGATTTTAATGAAAGTATATTGACTTTAAAAACACAGTGGAGCAATTCCTGTATTGTCACATAACATCACAAGGCGAAAGAGAGTGTTTTTTTTTGTTTGTTTTTTTTGTTTGTTTGTTTGAGTGTACATGCAGGATTTCTGTGTTGTATATTTGTGAATGAAACAAAACTCCAGGCATGTTTTTGATGAGGAAACAGCATGACAGTGTAATATGGGCCCTTTAATGTTGATTTTTATTTATAAATATATATTTTTTCTTTTTATCATGAACAACAGCTTCATGAAGATAGCAGGTGATGGATCTTCAACCAGAAAAGTTACATATAGTGCACTTTTAACAGTGCTTCCCAAATCCTGAAACCAGTTGTCAACTGGAAACTGTCAACAATTAAAATGCCCATTTCCAAGTCTTTAAAATTTAGGACGTGCACATTTTTACATGATACACTTTGCTCTAGGTCATGAGATATTACATTATACAGATAACATACAGATAAAAAAAAAAAAAGGTAATAATAATAAAATAAAATTAGTAAAATTGGAATCTAATTACTTTTAGAGAATTTGCCTTTTTTCAGGTTTGTGGGACTATCCATGAAAGAAAAGATGACATTTAGTTTTTCCTATATGTGCACCTGTCATCTGAAATTATTACTTAAAATCTAAGTCATAAACACAATCAGAACCGTCCAATTACAGCTATATCAAGCAAACTCTTCTCTTTTTGCCCACTTAAAAGGACTCATATAATGCTGTTTTCCGATCTGTGTTATAATGTTGTTTCCTTATGACAACCAGGAAGTGCTCCACTGTGTTTTTAAACTCCACACACCTTCACCAGAATCATTTGGATGAGTTCAGTCCTGGAATTGCCAATCTCAACTGAACAAAAGGTAAACTGTAGCTGTTAATTTGAAAACTACCACTTCATGACATCACAAGGTGGAACAGAGGATTTTGAGCTTTGGAGATGATGAGCTTTGAGTGCCCTGAAGGTGGAAAAGTGCTGTATAAAAATGTAACCATTTACCATGCAGAAGTATTACTCAAACGTGCGAATGATACCTTTAAGTTTTTGAAAAGGTAATGGCATTATAACATGTCTCAAAGTTCACAAGAGTCAGTTCAGTGTAATACAGGACCTTTAAACATGTATTACCAGCTCACAGGAAGTGTTCTTCTTAAACAACATGCCCGGGTCAGTGTGGGAGTTGGCTTTTGAATGTGTCAAGTTGAGACGAGGTGGTTTTTTGACATGCCCTATCAGACGCCAAGCTCAAAGAACAACAAAGATGGCCGCCCTGTGAAAACACTGGCAGCAGGGAGCAGCAGATAGAGGCAGACGGAGAGGGCACACGGGCCACGGGCTATCAGACCATCAGTCATCTCACCGTCTACAACTGCACCGACCGAGGAGTTTGACAAGAGTCAACGCTTCTTGGTAAAAAAGTGGGATATGTGAGAGTTTTATTTTTGTTATTTCATAAATATTACGCTTTTTTTCAAGGTTTGAATATTGTATGAATTTCAGAGCCAGTATATAGAATTAAGTTTAACCAAATCCTGATAAGTCTTCAAGATTAAGGGCTATTTAAACTGGCGCTATATGTAACATTTCGTACCTGCCACCTGTATGTCTCTCTAAAAGCCTTATTAGCTTGCCTGTAATAATCCCCAAAGTAACGTGCAAAAATGAAGTTACAATGCACCCTTTTGCATCTGCATCTAACCATCCATGCAGACAAGCAGAGTACGGGTCAGATCTGTGGAGATGTGACACTGCTCACAGTAAGAATGTTTTTTTTTTTTTTGTTTTTTTATGTATTTTTCAGCAACAAAAACAAATTGAACTGAATAAATGAATATTATCAATTTAATGCACCAAAGCCAAAAAATCTAATGCACATTTAAACTTGCAGTAATAGTAACAGTGATAGTAATAGCACTAGTAATAATAGTAATAAAAAAACAGAAATAGTGATAGTAATAGTAATCATAATAGTAATAGTAATAGCAATAGTAATAGTAATAGTAATAGTAATAGTAATTGTAGGATAGGAGTAGTAATAATTTCATAATTTGGGCCAATTCACCCTGAGGTTTGAGGGTCAACAGTGAGGGGTGCATTTGCCCCCCTGAGCAGCTTGTAATTATATGTCTTTTGTTTGGTTTCACCTCTCATTCAGGAGTCATGAATTTGATGGTATTGGTTTGAAGTTCTTGGACTTGGAGTTCAAAAGTGCATTTTGAGAAAACAACTTTTGAAATTGCAATGTCTCATATAACTCCATGAGTACCAGTTGTTTAAATAAATTAATACTTTTAATCTTCGGGGCAGATTGTATGACACAAAAGCTTGTATGTTGAGAGACCAAGCAATCAAAAAACAAACAAACAAACAAACAAAAAAATCATGATGTATCTATTTATATTTGTTCATGTTTTTGTTTTTTTGGGCCACGCAGAACTTAGGTATTTTCACTTTTTTAATTGATAGACTAAACATTTCACTGTGTATTCACCAGATCCTTGAGTCTTCTGAGCCCTGTAGTTGTTAAAAAACATTAAACCATTGAGAAGGAGTATAAACTTTGACCCCCTCACCCCCAGTCAGTCCCTTTAATTTAAGGGTCCTTAACATTCTTGCGGCGGTAAACAGTTCGTCTGGTCATTGGTCGAGGAGATCCCTAAAACTCTGGGAAAGTTTACTCCAAACGAGAGTAGCGTTCGAGAGACAGTGTCCATCAAGTCATGAA